TGCTTATTTTTTTTCAATTCTTTATATTCCGAATGAAATAATTATTCCGAGTTAAAATAATACCCTGTTCATAATAAATTAACTCGCATGTCAACATAATTATCTTGCATGTTGACATAAATAAGTTGCATGTTAACATTAATTATCTTGCATGTTGACATAAATAAGTCGCATGTCTACATAATTATCTTGCATGTTAACATAAATTAGTCGCATGTCAACATAATTCTGTTACATCTTGCTTGTATGATGTCATATAATGGCGTGCATAAGTAAAGTTTAAAATTAGATTCTCTTGAGAAGTTGGAAACTTGCAGGTAACATAATTATTTTGCATGTTGGCATAAATAAGTTGCATATCTACATAATTATGTTGCATGTAAACATAATTTATCTTGCATGTAGGGGGCAGAAATATGCCACCAATGCCCATAGTTTAGAAAAAAAATCCAGAAAACCAAGTGATAAAGACTGACAGACAGACTGAAAGACAGATAAAGGGGAAACCTGTAGTCCCCTTCGGTTTCACTGGTAGGGGACTAAAATAATTACATATGGTGTACAAATATTTTGGAGACTCTCTGGAACAGTAGTATATTCATTAATTTTAAAAATTAATGAACATCATGAAAATATTGATCTTAGTACATATACATGATGTGTCATAATAGAACATGCTAACTAAATAAATTAAAAGGAAAATCCCACTTTTCAGAGCACGGTTTTAATAAAACAAAAAGTGTGGAAAACCAAATGGGACAGACTGACAGACAGTCAAGGAGAAAATCTATAGTTCTCTCCAGTTTAAACGACATGGGACTATTAAAATAAGAAGTTTACACCCCCTCAAATGTTAAACATATTAAAAGACCTTTCTTTTTTGGATTGAGATTTTTTTTTTTTTTTTTTTAAAGTGATATTCTTACATTTGGTGATCCAAACAGAATTATAAAATTTAAAACTAGATTTACATAAAATTTTAATGAATAATGAGTAGAGAAAACATTTTTTAAACATTAGAAATTTTAATCTATCCATTTTAGCAAATATTTTTCATCACTCAAATCATTCTTGCTATGGCAGATTAAATTTGAAGAAAATAATTATTAGATGTGTAGGTTGCAGGGGCTTTTGAATTAAAAAAATATTGTGTATAGGAAGTCTTAACATACAAATATTAGCTGTACATATATACATTAAATATTATACAAGTATTGCTGGTTTTTGAGGTCAATACGATGATTTTGACACCTGAAGAGTACAGTATTCACCGAGCCCGAAGGGCGAGGTGAATATTGTACTTCGAAGGTGGCTAAATCATCGTATTGACCGAAAAAACAGCAATAATTGTTTTATTATATGATTAAATGACACACACTCATTAAGCAATCCATGCCATCTTACTTGTTCACATCTATTGAAGTACTACCTGAACATAATGAGAGAAACAGGGTTAAAAAACAACCAGTTTTATCACATGTATTTTGGAATTTTTAATTCTAGTTTAGGGTCAATGTAGAGGAAATAAATGTCAGGCACATATATAGGATTGATTTTGAAAATGGGGGCATTAGAAGGGGAAAAAAATGACAACTTACCTGAAAACAAACTTTTGACTAGCCCCCCCCCCCCCCCCCCCCAAAAAAAAAAGAAAAGAATTCTCCCAACTCAAAATTTTATTTAGTGGGATATAAAGATCCATAAATGAGGGGAGTGGGGCTTTCATTGAAATTTTTTATACTTAAAATTTAAAATAAAACTTTACATTCTCAAAAGGTGGAGAGAGAGTGGCAGTCCTCCTGCAACCCACCACTCCCACCCCTCACCCAAGAATCTATGTGCCTTTAATGTTACATGTATGTTCATATGAGTGGAAGTCAGGTGCAAGTGAAATAACTTTCCAAAACTATTTGCATCAATTTGGAATTTCCCTATCTATTTTTGGTCAAATGTAGAATAAATAATTCCTTATATTGACCTGAAAGGTCACGTGCAGGTCAATATAACGTAGTATTTTTCTAACATTGTTGGATCTCAGCCAATCAGAGAGATGGGAATTATTCAATCATATAATAAATAAATATATATATATTACCGTATATACTCGCCTATAAGTTGGTTCGCATATAAGTCGGTTGTATTTTTTAAGCTTTTATTAGAGGGATTGACCATGTTGACCATCTAAAATATCAGTCTTTTTATAACTCCCCTATAAATCGGACAAAGAGTTTTGGTCCAAATTACAACTCCCAAAAAACCGACTTATAGGCAAGTATATACGGTATATATACACTGTGCTGTAGAAAGCCTGTCCACTGCTAGAATTCATTCACCATTTTTTAATAAATATGTTGTCAACTTACATGACTTAGTGTCTTCAACTTATCCCTCTTATCAGTTAAACTTACATAATTAACATGATTAACCATGTTATCTGACACATTTGCTTTCAACAGATTTTATCATAATCTAAAAATATCTCATGATTTTATTGCAATTATAAATTCATAAAATTTATATGTCCTTATTTGTCGCACATAGTCTCTTAATTAGGGGTGTTTGTTATACATGGACCAGTATATGGAGATAACTTTCAACTGAAGTTGGTTACCAGTTAAAGGCAATCTTAATTATCATTACTTTTTTGGTTGTCAATTTAAAAATCAGAAAAGAATTCAAGTCATCTTAATTTAAGTACGACTTCACTGTACTTTACAAAATGTAAACTTTTTTTTTTGAGATATAGAATTTTGGATTACCATGATTACTGATTCTATAAACATGATAAATTATATTTATAAACAAACCTTATCATAATGATTGAAGAACACATTTATTCTTATTAATAACAATTTTACAGTGGAAACTTCAAGGAATTTTTTTTTAATATTCTATAGAACACGTAGAACAAAAGTAAAAAAAATTAAGTGATATGCATCAATATATATCATAAAACACAAGTCAAAATATTGTGACAGTCATGATTAAATTTTTTTGCATTTTGATACTCATCCCTACTTTTAATTAAATGAATATTTACTCTACACTTTGTGTAAGTTTTGAAAGAGAAAGCATTTATGAGATTAGACTCAAAGCAAAGCTAGTGGGCTAACAACAAAACAAGAGGCCCATGGGCAACAACACCCACCTATCAGTCACTTTGGCCCTGCTGTTCTGCTACAGATTTTTCCCCCAATATACATGTATTCCTAATGGCTATGTAAAATTTTGATCGTCTTTTGTGGCCCAACCCTATATATAGGGGCCATCATTTAATAAAAAATGAATCTACGCTACCAGAGGATGCTTCTTACATTATTATGTTTCATCGTGGCTTTAATGTTCTTGAGAAGAATTAAGCATTTTAAAGATTTATCCAATGTAATCCCTATTGTGGCCCCACCCTACCCCCAGGGGCCATGATCTGAACAATTTAAAACCTACACTACCTAAGAAAGCTTTCACCTATTTTCATCTTTTCTAGTCCAGTATTTCTTGAGAAGAAGATATTTAAAATTTTTCCTATATATTTCAATGTAAAGTTTTGATTCCCTATTGTGGCCCTATCCTACCCCCAGGGGACATGTTTTGAACAATTTACAATCTACACTACCTCGATCAGGGAGCTTTCAACTAAATTTCATCTTTACTAGTCCAGTAGTCTTGAGAAGAAGAATTTTAAAGATGTTTTTCCTACAATATTTTCAATGTAAAACATCCATTCCCTATTGTGGCCCCACCCTACTCCCGGGGACCATGATCTGAACAATTTATAATCTAATCTTCCTTAAGAAGCATTTATATGAGTATCAGCGTTTCTGCCACAGTGGTTCTTGAGAAGAAGATACCTGAAGATTTTCCCTATATATTTCATTGTAAAATTTTCATCCCCTAATTTGTGGCCCCATCATGCCCTGTGGGGGCAAGATTTGAATAATTTACAATCTACACTACCTCAGGAAGCTTACATATAAGTTTCAGCTTTTCTGGCTCATTGCTTCTTGAAAGAATATGTTTCAATGGCCCCACCCTATTTTTGCATTTCTTGATTATCTCCCCTTGGAAGGAAACTTGGCCCTTCATTTTAAAATTTAGAATCCCCTTTACCCAGGAATGCTTTGTACCAACTTTGCTTAATATTGGCCCAGTGCTTCTTGAGAAGAAGTTGAAAACATGTGAAAAGTTTACAGATGGACGGACAGACACTGGACAATATGTGATCTTACTTGAACTTTCAGCTCAGGTGAGCTAAAACTGGAAAAAGGGTGGGAAGGGGGGTGTTAAGTCATACATGCACCTTGTCCATTAGCTTTCACGAAAATTAAAAATATATGTACATGTATTTTTAAAAAAATCAATGTGAGAAGCTACATCAGGGTTTGAAATTAACAGTAGCCCACTCGCAATTTGCGACTAATGTTCCATATGGGCAACTTAAAATTACGTTCAAGTTGCCCACATGGCGATTAGAAAATTTACGATAATAAATATTTGTTTTTCAATTTTGTCCGAATGTTTTGTTTTTTTCTCTTGAAAAATTTCATAATCAGTAAAGTGCTTTATGATTACCCATAAGAAGTACTTATACATAAAGCGTCCAAGTGATTGTGTCAGGCACAATGTGACATCGACGGGTCAATAAGCCCAAGAAACCAAAATGTTCTGTTGTTATTTGTGAATGAAAACGTGCCATGTGCTCTATATATGATATTGAATGATCATATCAATCTTCATAAACAGAAGAGTTCCACTTCAAATTTAGATAAGTCGTGCATAATGTTACAACGGATAGAAAAGAAACACAAAACACATGATAAAAAAGAAAAGAAAAATGGGGTTATTGTTTTTATATTCAATAGAAGGTGTGATAATCTGTGGGTGAATAAATTTTGATGTGGGCCCCAGAATTGAGGTTCAGTAGCCCACATTGCTATCAAAGATTACAAGTTAGTTTAAAACCCTGTACATGTAAAAATTAGTTAAAATTAAACGGTAGTAATTAAAATTGCTAGGTCATTAACAATCAAGATAATTGATATAAATGTTTAATTCACTTACCAACAATGAGATCCAAGTTCAAAGAGCCATATTTCCAATGGTTGATTCTTTGTCATCAAAACTCCTAAAATCCGTCTTAGTCTTAACTCGCACATCGATCTTCCTTAAATTTTTGAAAATCATGATTTTTGTTAATTTTGTCAGTTCAACAGTATTTCCTGACTTAATGGAAGTCTGAAAAAAGTCCTGAGGATTACACTCTACTATTCTTTTTTTTCACACTCCCATGGAATTTATTCTGATTTGTCATATTTGGTTTCTCACAATCCTTAAATCTTTCTATTGTGGCTATACATGCTTCCTTTAAACTTGGTTGATATCATGTGTTCTATGATCCACCACAAGCTGTAGAACAGACGTCCTTCTTCTTACAGGGTTTGTTGATAAGAAATGTTCATAACTAAAAAGATAAAGTGATTCCCATCTATTAGAATGTTGCAGACCTTTAATGAAATATCAAGATTACAAACAGTATTTAAGCTCAAAGGTGCACTGAAACATTACTAATTGTGAGCATTGCAAACATAGATCTCTAAAACATCAGAGGTGGGATGAGTTGTCATGGAGGAATAAGCATCCCCTGTCAACTAGTTACACCTGCTGTGAGCTCCTTGTCATAATAGGGTGAAATGGATAAATCTGTAGACAATTCAGTATGAAAATAATGGCCTAACAATTTCTGTATGAAAAACATCGATCAGTAAACATTTGACTTATCTGTACAGTAGACTGTATTTGTTAACAAGGTCATTGTATCAAACACAGAATTTGCAAAATGTTCAACCTGTATCATCAACTTATTTGCCAATAGCTTGCCTCATTTTAGTAATTGTTTGTACTAGGTACACATGCTCTTGTCCTTTGAATCAAATGGGAGTCATAAACTCCATATGAAGGTGATAATGCTACATAAGTAAGGGAAGTTAATAATAGAAAAATTAAAGTTATGTGTTTATCATAAAATTTAGTTGTTACTTTGCCATTAATGTCTTTGTCTAGTAAAATATTCAAATATGAAACAGATGTATATGCCTCTGTGGTGTCTTTAATTTTGAGTTCAAAGAGATAATTACATGTGAATGAAAAAAAAAATTAAATATAATGAATAGTGATCAATCTCAAAAAATGTATAAACATTACAAATCTGTGAAGTGCCTTGCAAAAACAAGGACCCCCTGGAAATCCCAGAGGTGGGATCAGGTGTCTAGGAGGAGTAAGCATCCTCTGTTGACCGGTCACACCTGAATAAGTTAATGTAGGAATAAAAATGAATAATTACTGCCCATTGATAAAGCATCATCAATATGTCATTATACATGATATATCTAATCATGTACCGTTAGTATATATAGGACAGGAAATACAAAATATAGTTATTTATAAAACAGTGTACAGTGCTACCTCGGTATATTGCCAGCTTTTGTCGAAGGCAGATTTTGGCATTATAGCGAGGGTGGCAATTTAACGAATTCTGCCATAAATTAACAATTCAGTGGGTAATCAAAGCAAAATAAATAGTTTATGTAATTCATTTCAGTTACAGTCTGTTAATGTCATGCTTGTGCACATACGTATAAGGGAAGCTCTCGTTTCCTTTTGAAAAAGAAGTCATTATTTTTTTAGTTTACAATATTTTTACTGAAAAGAAACAAAATGTCAGAATATTGAACACCTGTCAATTCCCTGCTCTTTCGCCATGCTCTAAGAATTTAATAACCTGATAACAAAGATGTCAGTAGCCGTTATAGCCTCTCGGTATTAGAAAAGTTTTGAGAATTATTATTAATCTCATCTGAATCAAAAGTAGATTTTTTTCACCGTCTCAAGAATTTCTGAATCAGTTAAAAAGTTTGGTTGGTAAAGTGTCATGACGAATGGCAAGTCACGTGTCAGAATACGTCAACCTGTTGTAATAAACATGCATTCTTATGTTTGCTGGTACCTGTGTACTTCTCTTCCGATTCTGTTTTGATATTTATCAATCAACCCAATCTGTGCCCAACAATTTATGAAAAATTCAGGGGTAACAGAATCCTTAATATTTTCACGTGCGGAATTATAGTAGTCTAAAAATAGAGGTGGGATTTCCTTTTGATCGATAGAATGGCTTCTTAATCTAAGGGGACACAAATGAATATTTGCATTTATTATGGTTTGGGGCATTATCCATGATAAGCAACAATTGGCGATTTACAATCAAATAGATCGAATATTGATCAATCAATTTTTTTTCTTCTCGTAATCCAAATTTGTACGCTTTCTCTTGCCTGACGTTTCCATTACTGTGATGAAATAATTCTTCTTTCTTATAAAAACACGCCAAAGACATTGCTAATTTTGAGTTTTATTCACCAATTATTTTTAATTTAGCTGAATTCCTTGTCCAGCCCGTTACGCTTCACCGCAACCACTGTCAAAGCACGGGTGTGTTGTCCAAATTACCGACCCGCTCTAGGTAATTGGCATTGTTCTCGAGGGTTTTCCTTATATAATTTGACCTTTTGTTTCCTAAAACCAGTGGCGGATGGCAATAAGCAGGGGTGGCAATATAACAGGTGTATTAACAAAAGGGGGAAATCCGTTCTTCGAGAATTCTTGGCAATAAGCGAGGGTGGCAATATAACGGAGGGCAATATACCAAGGTAGCACTGTATTTTCAACTTCAGCTAGGTCATCATATTAAAAAATAATCATATATTTCCAAACATTGAGGAGTTTCATTGTATTTAATCTTGTAAATAATGTATCTGACCAGCAACATATGGCATGTGGCTTAATTGTGCTATTACGCATGCATCAAAATTTATTTCTAATTATAGCTTTCCTTAGTGTGCACACGGCCTTAATGCAAAGAAATTTGATGCGCAGTAAATTAATTTGAATTAACTTATTTGCATTAAATTGTCCATGTGAATGTGGTTCAAATTTAATCTGTATTAACTTACGTTTAATTCGAATTAAACCCTCCTTGTGAAGACGACATTAAATGTACATATCTCATACTGTATACCCTCATCAAAGCTTCACAACCAGATAATACATATTCTTGTCAGCTGTCAAAATCTCATTCGCATGATTAAAATGAAAGTGAACGTGAAGTTGAATACCGATCCCGATTAGAATGAATACAATTAAAGGACTGTTAAGGACCCTCTATACACTAAATCAAAAATGTTTTTAGTCCAAGATAAATAAATTGAACACTTTATTTGCATGTGTTATCTCACTCAAGTAAACAATGTGTAGTCTCAGATTTCTGTTCATCAATACTTTAATGTCTTTGAATATTTTTCTTAGGGTGTAAACATGCCATGTACCCTATGTTGAACATGTTGAAATTCAAGAAAATGAAGTAGATCTGATAAGCTCATTATTTATACCTTTATACAATATAATTTTGTTATTCAATTGTTAAGAATGCTTGTATTAACTAAAATTCAGTAACAGACTGCTAGGATTTCAATTTATCAAATTTGATTTAGACCCCAGGGCGAATTAGTCTCTATCTCCATAAAAATACCATAAAATCAGAGCTCTTTGGTGTGCAGTATATACTAGAGTGTAATTGATTTGTATGAGAAAACTGAAATTAAAATAATCATGGAGGGTAAAAAATTGGGGGGGGGGGGGGGTTTACAATCTTTCAGATTTCTTCTAATTCCATCAAAAAATATATACAGAGAGCTTAATTTATGCAATCTAAGTAATTATAATACACAGATGATAACATTTCTTGCTCATTTGAAATTACATATACATTTGTAATATTCTTGGCACACCGACTTGTTCACTATCAACAAAATGTTTTCCTTTTAAATTAAATTTTAATAATCTGGTTAAGTGGTACATTCTAACAGATACTCTTTATCAACAAACTTCTCTTAACATAATTGATCACTCAGGTTTACAGCGCCTGCCAGTCAATCGATATCAAACATTAATTAATAGAGTCCGGCCTCTAAAAGATTATGAGGCCCCTTATATTTTTTGTTGTATTGTCAAAATGTCTTTTATTGTCTTATTTAGTATTTTTAATACACTTACAAACAACTTGTTCCTTAGACACTAAATAATGATTAAATAACTTGAGTTTGGTCTGAATTTACTGTGCTTTTCCAGTCACTGCACTTAAAAATACTATTTTTGCATCTACTGTAAGTTTTACTCGCATTAAGGTGTTGATTATATACATGTACTGTAGAAGCACAAATTTTCGTGGACATAAAATTTTGTTATTTCTTATGTTATCTGAGAAGGTTTTGTAGGCATTAAATTTCATTGTTATGAATGTAACTCTACTCATTATATATTGAAATGTAATATTTCATGTGGGATTAACAACGAACAAATGACAAAATAAAGGAATATTTCTGCTTTAAAAGCATATATTGTGTGTATATATATACACTGTATAGCCCTGGCCTTGGGGAACTGGAATCTTGCTCCCTCCCTCAATGATATACTTTAACTGTATAATAACATAATTGTATTCTCTGCAGTTGGAAAATCTTTTCATTAATTTTTCTTTTTAAATCCCTCAATAAAAAAAAAAAATCTCTTCATTTTGAATTTCAGTGGTTGCATTATACCCCAATAAATACATGTATAGTGTGTACCCCTCCTTCTTTGTTTTTTTTTTCTGAAAATAGAAGTGTGCACACCATAAAAGAGAATTTATAGTAGTTCGTATTTGTCTAATATATTAACACATTACATATGGAATGCCCCGGTGACAACAATGGCCAATGGTGTAGTATTAATTATCTGTCCTGTTTATTATGGAAAATAGCTAAATAATGAAAATTATCAGTATGACTGTCAGTTGCAAACATCTTTTTTTTTTAATCCCATTTAAATAATTTTATTTTACTTTTTATCTGGACTACATGTATCATTGGTGAAGTTCTTTGTCTTTTAAACTGAACCTTTAATTTTTTTTTTTTATACTGGCACAATTAGCTGATAACATACAGACTTAATTTTAAATTTATTGATCCTCCCAAATATTTTCCGGTCTTGGGCCAACAGACTGTCATTAAGGTAAATAAATATGTAAAACACTGATTCATGACTGTAGTATATTGAAATAATGCAGGAAAACATGTACAGATCATGTTGATACACAAACACATCATCATGAACTCCGATCATCAGAACTTTAGGTAGTTTTGTTTTTTTTTTTTCTGACATGTAGGTTTTCACTATTAAATGAATATTATATAATTGCATTCATACCATAAACTTCTCTCTGCTGTGTTCTGAGAATCCATGAACATTGATAATTTCTGATCCGAAACCAATGAATCTACCTGAAATGTATTATAATATTATGCAGTTTTAAAACATAAATTCCATGATAAATAAATAGGAAAATATATTCTTTAATTACTGTAACTTAGTAGAAGTCGCATCATTTTCATGAATCATCACAGCTATATATACATATTCTCTCAAAACTGTCCCAATGCAATAATGAGTGCATAACAATAAAATGACAAGTATCAATCTTTAAATTCACATACTTTGAAAACTTTGTACATTAAAATTAGGGCATGGCACTGTCTAAATGCACAGCATGTCTTTGACATTAATATCAACTTATATAGCTGCACTATACCCTCAGGTTGCCAGGGCTAGAAGACCACGTTGAAGCAGGGACCTATACATGCTTAACAATTATATCTATGTCCCTGGGAGAAGTAAACAGCTACCCCCCCCCCCTTTCATCATTTAAATTATTTCTAATATTTACGCCTCAGTTGTACATGTGTTTTTTGAGTTGACAGCTTAATATGTACACAATATTAACAATGCTTTTAGCAGCCCACGTACCTATATATAACCCAGGCAGACTGAACGTTTCCCCGGCCCATAACACATGTTGTGACCGACTCTACTTTCGTTTTTAATATGAAACCTTCGAACTTGACATGACACATAAACAAGACGCGAAACGCAAGAAAACATTTAAATTTTCTAACAATATATTTTGCTACACATTTCAAAAGATCAACGTTGATTCAATAAAAATCGAAATATCAGATGCACGTACATGCAGAAATAGTTTCTCTCCGCGAGTACAACATATGCCAATACGGAATGTGTTTACCTTCCCAGAGACATAGATATAGAGAAGATTTCTTTATGTTTTCACTAACATTAATAATAATAACTTTTAGTTTAATGGTTTTAACCATTTATACTGCAATCATGCAACGATGTACATTGTAAGAATACAGCATATACATGTATACATATCGTAGGAAAATTATTGAGTAAACAATAATGCCGTAATGTCATAATGGACACATATCTTTACTCATTTATTCATAGGCCATATTTAATACATGTACATAAAATTTATTTATTTATTTACAGATTTTGTACTTACCTTTTACAAAGTTTACTTCGTCCTCATGTATATGACTAAGTGTGAAACGGGTACTGTATTATGATGTCATTTACGACGTCATTTGATGTAACGAGCATGCGCACTCGCAATGTGTGTAAGTCTCGCCGAGAAGAAAAAATGATGGATCGGTGGTCATCTTATACACACTCATTACACAGATCTCATGCATCCGGTCAAATTAACACTTCATTTTTTTGAAATGGGATGCATCCTAGGACATTTTCTAGTTGATTTATGACAAAATCCAACTGAACACCACCATTTCGTGTTCATTTGGATTTTTCCGTGTTCATTTAAACGTGTGCCGTCTAAAGCACGTGTCCAATTGACAGGGTTTACAAACACACACACACACACACACACACACACAAAACAGGCTTCTGAAGCCCTTCAGCAAGTTTGTCTTTTAGTCAGTTTGTCGGTCGTTATAATGAGTGCTTCGATAGACTCGAGGCATTTATTTCGTTAGCTAATTTCTTTCATCAATCAGTTAAATCCACTGTCTAAATACCCAATGATAAAAAAACATATGCTTGATTACTACATCTACCTCAATTGATGGCAATATTGAGTTTAGTCTCAAATCCATTGATTCCAATACTGCCGCAAACTGTCATCCCCTACACACATTTAAAGGTTTACCCAAAGATCTAGCAGCCAGAATCCACTGCATCTGTTTATCCACTACCTTGTACCAGAAAACTCCAAAAGTCCCATTTATGCAAAGAGGCTACAAATTAAGCCCACACCGTACACACCGTACTATTGATAAGATGGCAGGACAGGACAGACAAAACCTTTTACATTACAAAGAGAAAGATAATGGCAGCAGGGTTCCACTGGTAACTACCATTTCGACTTAAGATTGACTGATTTATTGTATGTTGTTTTACGTTCCGTTCAAGAATTTTCACTCATATAGAGACGTTAGCATACCGGTGAAGGGGTTTAAATTTAGACCTTTGCTCGGCGTTCAGGAGCATTGAGCAGCGAGGGATCTTAATCTTGCTAACGCCTGTTATGATACGGGGCATCGGTTTTTTAACGTCTCATCCGAAAGACCCGCAACTTTCACTTCAAATGCCGAGCGCTTGTCAAAGGAATAGTTGCTACTAATTTTTTTTCATCGACTTTGGTCAGTCGCGGATGGGATTTGCATGAACCCACGACCTTCCGATCATGGAGCCAGCGCTCTACCTACTAAGCTAGCAAGCTTCTGAAATTCTATACGTATATACAAAACAATCTGACATTGTATTTATGAATAAAACACATATATCAGGAAAATGTATCTTTAAGAAAAGCTTATATAGCAATTTAGTTTTTTCCTAACTCGACATCAATTAATTTTTCTTGCTGACTTGTATTCAGTATATCGATATTTTTGATAAGAATTATGCCAGGACTATTATATAATTATTAATAATCTAAATTTCCATTGATTTGAATGAAATATGGAGATAACGAACAGTGTTTAAACTTAAAGTCTATTAAAACAATACAAATCGATAGCAAAGCAAACACGGACCTCCAAAAACAGAGGTGGGATCAGATGCCATGGAGGAGTGAGCATCACCTGAAGACAGGTCTCACCCGCCGTGCGTTCCTTGTCTTGATTCGTAAATATCGGACAAAATCAGGGTGTAAATAATGGCCTAACAATAAGTATGAAAAACGTCAGCCAGCAGATTACTTAGTGATAGATTGTTTTTGGTGACAAGGTCATTGTATCGACCATAGAACTTACGAAATGATGACTTTAAACGAGACTGTTGATATCCTGTTAAATCAACTTGTTAGTCAATAGCTTACCTCGTTTTAGAAAGTGTTCATACGTAGAGCATGCTCTTGCGTATCGAATCGACTGGAAAATGTACACCCCACACCCCAGGTGATAAGGATATATTGCTGCATAAGTAAGGGAGTTAGACGATTGAAAAGTTAGAGTCCTCACGTTTATCATAAAGCTTTGTTCTTAGATTACCATTGACGTCTTTTTCTAGTAAAATATCCAAATATGAAAAATGAAATATGATGTGCCAGACTCTGTGGTATCTTTTATTTCAAGCTCACCGGGATATATCGTGTCGACATATGAATGGAAATAACTATTGTTAATTGATAATACGTCGTCGATATATATAAATGTCAAGTTGAAAGCCACAGCAAGAGATTTCTTTTTCTCATGTATAAGATCTTGATTAAATTCTGCTTCATATGAATACAAAAATAGGTCTGCTAACAACGGGGCGCATGGGAATTCAAACAGATTGTTGGAAGACCTGGTCTCCAAATACTACAGGGATATTGTCAATCAGACACTCAAGCATCTATTGAATATCAACTTCAGAGTACTTATGTGAACAATCAGAATGTTTTTTAACAAAATAATTTTGCAAATGACCAATGATAAGGTCAGTAAATTTTCGAGTTCCATTTTTATTGAAAAAGCAGATGTCAATGATGTCAAAAAGCCTGGACTTAAATTTATTTGAAGTGAAAACATTATACCACAATGAAAAAGGTGAAGATGACGAACAGTGATCGATCTTAAAAAAATTTATAAACAATAGAATTCTTCAAAGAGGGAATTAAACACGGACCCCTGGAAATTTCAGAGGTGGGATCAGGTGCCTAGGAGGAGAAAGCCTCCTCTTTTGACCGATCACACCCGCCGTGAGCTTTATGTATTGATCTAGACGGAACATTTCGTACTCGAGTTCAGTATAAAACAAAGGCCCAACAAATGGTATAAAACAAGTCAGCTAAAGTCTAGCCCAATATTATGGTATATTTGCTAACAAGATCATTATAACGACCATAGAAATTTCGATATGCCGACTTTAAACGAGGTCGTTGAAATCCCTGTAACATCAACTTATCTGTCAGTAGCCTCCCTCTGTTTAGAAAGTGATCGTACTCGGAGCATGCTCTTGAGAATCGAATAAGTTAGGAGAAGTAAACACCATATGAGGTGATGGCGGAATATTACTACATAAATAAGGAAAGTTGATGATGGAAAACATGAACTCATCTTGTTTGGCATTCAATTAAGTTTCCAGTTGGCCACTATCGTCTATAAATAATAATTTTTAACTTTTTCAGGATACAGCACTGAAAGTCTATCCGAATCTTTTGCGTCAACATCAATACTACCACATGCTGTGTCTTGTAAATCACATCCGATCACAACGATCAGATTCAACTTAAAAGGAACAAAAAGTGAGAAAAATGTCAGTGAGACATGTCTCAACCCAAAGTTCCTGGCACATATCTTAGCACACCAAGAATGTCTAAAAGCAATAAATGGAAACCTTAAAGATGACCTGAAAATGACAATAAAACAGATTCCTGGTAACTTCAGCGCTTTGGAAATATCTGTGGAAGAAGGTGTAATGGAAAACATGAAATTAGAAGAAATGTATAATGTTATTAACAAGTATTGCAGGGAACAATTAAAAATCATTGAACATGACATTGACGAAGAAAGATTTTCCTTTGCAGATTTAAAGCTTGGAAAATTTCTTAAAGGAATGACATATCCTCATTGCATTTCAATTTTCTTTGACGGGAAGCTGTCCTTAGCTGGACATGGAGCTGAAATAATAGTCTTTGAAAGAGACATATTATCCTCCATTCTGAATGATGAAGTGGTCAGAGATTCATTTAGCATTGAAAAAGAGCAGCTTATGTACCTGAAAGTCATTCATTACGCGGATGAAATATCGAAGGATTTTTCTGTTGAAGTAGTCTTTGAAGATGAAGCGGAATCAGGTACTGTGGCATTCCATGGGTTAAGAGAGGATGTCGTGAATGTGCAGAGAAATATCAGTCATTGTCTACAGAATTATCATAAACGTTTGTGGACCAGACCATTAAAAAGAAACGAGCAATGCCTTTTACAAGAAAAGGAAGTCATTCGTCACTTCAAAGGGGTTTTCAAAAAATATAAATGTTCATATTTGATTACCGATGACTGCTTGCGTGTTGCACGCAAAATAAGTGACATGGACATTCTGAAAACAGAATTGGAGAATGCATTGTTTGTTGAAATGAACCACAGTCTTAGTAAAGTAGAAAAGATCTTCTTCGAATCAGAGCAATGGATCGAACAGTATAAAATCCTTCGTAATAATACAAAAAAGCAGGTTATTATTACTGTCGAGGTAAATGAGCTTTCAGTTACATGTTTGCCACATGTACAAATTCAAGTAAAAAGCTGTCTGGAGAGCTTTTTAAGGGAAAGGATAAAATCTGAATTGATGGAATGGGGTTGCTCTGTGGATGCAAAGGAATTTTTCAAAAATGTCAAAGCTGAAGAAATTCTCCAAATTAGGAATTCAATGGAAGATTCCATTATGGCATTATCTATAGAGGATGATGGAATTCTTGCAAAAGGCACCGAAAGCGGTATAAAAAAATGTAAACAAGAGTTGAAGACTATTATAAGCTCTGTCAAATATAAAAAGGGGGAATTTGCTGCTTCTGAGGAGGCTGTTAATCACTTCTTAACATCAGAGGGAAAAAGAAAACTTCACGAAATAGAGAAAAAGACTCGTAGCGTTATTTACATGAAAACTTTCTGTAAAATAAAGATGGAGCTAGGAAACATAGAGGAAGATAAGGTAAGTAATTTTGAGCAGACCTTTTTTGATACATGTCAGATTAAAAAGCTAATTCCGAGAATTTGTGTCCCCCGCTTAAGAAAAAAAGTAAAGGATGGAAGAAATGGAAACATTTTGCAGATGGAGAAAGAAAAATATGTCAAGCTTGACTATTCAGCTTTTAGCCTTAATGTCACATAAATTTAAAGTTTAGATTTCCATCCGAATTTGCTTAAAATTGGGGCGGATGGGCGATTTTTATTTCTTTTTTTATTTCCCACCATTACTGTAAACATCTTTAACGATCTTATAATGAAAGAATTTTTTATTGTAAATATCAGTATGGATTCTCTTCGTATTGCCCTTTTATAAATATATATTTTCGTTTGACCAACAGATACTTGTGCTTTGTCTGCAAAATCACAGAATTCTACTGTCCTTATAACGTCCACTTTTTCCTCCTTGACACATTCGATATTGTCAAAATTTTACACAACACATGGGGTCTAATTTAGCCTTTATAAACAGTTCTTATAGATTTATCATGTAAAGTCTGCCGGCAACTTTTATTATATGCATTGCAAAAGCTTAATGTGTTCTTGAGGTATCGCCCTGAAACGAAAGTGTAACACACAGATAGAAATACAGACAGCTAGACAGACGGACGGACGGACGCACAAACACACCCAAATTAATATCCCCCCATTAGTGAAAGCAGGGTACAAAAAAATGTGAGGGCAGATAATTTAAAACAATCAGCATTTCCAAAGTAAAAATTTATTTCGGAATCAGATATATTTTTTCCTGTATATTTTTACAGTTATATTTTACCTTTTAGGGGGACGTTATTGTAAACTCTGTTAGCACAGTTACATCGTCTACAGCAGCACAGTCAACTGTTGCTAAGGCTATTTTCGAGAAAGGAGGAGGTGAGTTCCAGAACAAACTTGTCCAGAAGACAAACGGAAGAATGCAATATGGAGAAGTAGTGGAAACAGAGGCAGGGGGAAATCTACAGTGTAAAGCTGTGTATCATGCTTGTCTGCCGAATTCTTCAGATCAACCCGAAAAGGTACAATGTTTATCGAAATTTATTATATCTAAACCTTTAACATTGATAAGGAATAGAGACGTTTTTGCTTAAAGTGTCATTGCAGATTCGAATACAAGAATATGTATACATTTTCATGATGGCACTTGTGAAGACTTCTATTCATAAACGATAATATATCATAAATAATGAATTAGAACTGCATTGTTACATGTAAGGACGTTCGGGACATTGCTATGGAATGTTTGAAAAAAGCTGGACAAGATCACCACACCTCTATATCATTGCCGGCTCTTGGGACAGGGACCTATAATTACCCTCCAGATCGTGCCGCCAAGGGCCTGCTCGATGCTATTGTAGAATTCACCAGAAACACACCTTCATTGCTGGAGAAAGTTACCATAGTTTTATTTGCAGAATCAAAAAGAAATATTAAAGAGGTAAAAACATTTTGTCTTATTACTCTTTTTTACAACTATATTAAAGACAAATTTTAAAAATTTAATGACTATGTCATAAGTTAATTAATATATTCGTGGGAGGGAATAACGAATGGATAAGAAATAAGCTCTCTGATCGAAATTATTATCGTTTTACCTCTTTGTAAAGTTCAGTAATGCTAAAAGAAGTCATAAATATTACTTCTTAGCATAATGTTCGAGAAGTGATATTCCGTTAGTATTATTTTTGGGAAATTTCTACAAACTGTACTTCTTTCAAATTTCGAATGTTTCAGAATAGAAATGTTTGACACGGTCTTTCTATTATAAACATCCCGTAACCATTGAATAGTTTTCTAACATAACTGTAATAAAGAAAGTATATTTCCTTGAAAACAGAATCAATGTGAACAGCCAAGATAACGAGCAGTCATTAATTTCATAAATCTAGTGAAGAATTCGAATAGTGAACAGGTACAAAACACGGACCCCTGTAAACACCAGCAACATTAACTCATTTGTCAGTAGCTGCTTTGGTTTAAAGAACGACCGTACTCAGAGTATGGTCTTACGAATTGAATCTGAGACTGATATCAAGTCTACATTTGAATGAAATTAACTATTATTAATTGATAAAACGTCGTCGATATATCTAAATGTTGAGATGAAGGCCTCAGCTAAACTTTCATTTTTTCTCAAGCAGAAGTTTTTGAATAAATTCTGCAATGGGATATAAAAACAGATCGGCTAATAATGAAGCATAATTTGTGTGCATGGGAATTCCAACAGATTGCTGGAAAAGTGCTGGTCTCGAAAGACTACATAGATATTGTCAATAAAGATCTCCAGTATCTTTTTTAATATCAACATCAGAGTACTTATTAGAAATACATAAAATATTAGAATACTTATTTATGTTTCTTTAAGACAAACAAAAAACAAATGAACATACATGAACATTAATTCTTGATTTCAGGCCTTTCAACAAGAATATCAAAGACGATGTCAAACGGTGTCTGGGTCTTCCATTTCGATATTAGAGCGGGGTTGTATCACATCTGGAAAATTTACAATTGTTTCGGAGTCACAACAGATGCTCACAGAAGCAAAGAGATACATTGAAGAGGAAATTGCGACTCTTTTAAGAAATCTCCAAGCCTAATCTCTGGTTTTCATTTAGATTCAGTCATACTTATGAAATCAACTCTCTCTACTTTAATTCAGTTAGACTTATGAAATCAACTCTCTCTACTTTGATTCAGTTATACTTAAGGAATCAACTCTAACTACTTAACAGAAAGGGGCAATATAATTCGTTTAATTCCAAATTAGTTGATAAATATTGGGGTTTTTGGAAAGTATCTAGCTAATATCATAATAAACGGAACGATACAAACAATTAATGAAGACTTTCTCCAACTGTACCATTTAAAATTTTATTGTTTTAAAACCAATTTCAAACATTTTCAATATCTGAATATTTCATAATATTTAATTAATGTAACAAATGCCATTTTTATTGTTTAAATAAAGACACCAAATGAAATATATCTAGATAACGAACAGTATTCAAGCTCAAAAGTCCATTATACAATACAAAATAGGAGCAGAGCAAACACGGACCTCCAAACATCAGAGGTGGGATCAGGTGCCATGGAGGAGTGAGCATCTCCTGCCGACCGGTCACACCCGCCGTGTGCTCCTTGTCATGATCGGGAAATAACGGAAAAATCCGTCGACAATTCAGTGTGTAAATAATGGCCTAACAATTAGTATGAAAAACGTCAGTCAGCATTTGACTCAATGATAAATTGTATTTGCTGACAAGGTCATTGTATCGACCATAGAACTTACGAAATGATGACTTTAAACGAGACAGCTGATATTCTTGTTTCATCAACTTATTTGTCAATAATTTACCTCGTTTTAGAAATTGTACATACGTAGAGCATGCTCTTGCGTATCGAATCAACTGAGAGATATATACCCCGTATGCAGGTGATGAAGGTGTATTGCTGCATAAGTAAGGGAAGTTGACGATTGAAAAGTTAAAGTCATCACGTTTATCATAAAGCTTGGTTGTTAGATTACCATTAACGTCTTTTTCAAGTAAAATATCCAAATATAAAACAGATGTGTCCGACTCTGTGGTATCTTTTATCTCAAGTTCACAAGGATATATCGTATCGACATAAGAATGAAAATAGCCATTGTTAATTGACAATACGTCGTCGATATATCTAAATGTCGAGTTGAACGCAACAGCAAGTGTTTTCTTCTTTTCACGTACAAGATTTTGGACAAATTCTGCTTCATATGAATACAAAAAAAAGGTTTGCTAATAACGGGGCGCAATTGGTACCCATAGTAATTCCAATAGATTGTTGAAAGACCTGGTCTCCAAAAACCACATAGATATTTTCAATCAGAAACTCAAGCAAAGAAGAAAAAGAATTCCATTTAAAAATACCTAAATGATCTGATAAATTAAAAAGTCGTGAAATTAACAATACTTAAACGAATATGCTTCTCTGTAGACTCATTGCTAAACGTTGAACACTTATTGAAAATATCGATAAGAAGAAGAGGTACCTCCACAAGAAGAACACGGCATTTTAAATATATAAACGATAAGTAATTTAATAGAAAAGATTAACTATGCGATTTTAAAAGTAGTGTTACCTTGGGACAAACATGTTTTTTCTATGGAAAAATAAATACGTCACAAAACCCCAAAATAAGATAAAATGATCAAAAAAGTATTGAAGGAAGAGAAAATATTTATAATATTATAACATATGTGTGTACATACTGTATAAACTCTTTCAAACAGGATAACAGCATGTACATGTACTTCAAGATTTAATAAAATTCTTGCTGGCTTATTTGTAAACATAAATTTATCATTTTTCAATGAAACACTGACTTGTACGTCAAGTTTGTGTAAATCAGTAAAAATTTGTAGAAATCAATAAAATGCTATTTAGGAAAAGAAAAGTTTGGGGATCTGCAATGGTCTTTGACAATAAGCTTCAGTTTATTTCACCTTCTCAAAGCTACAAATTTTAGGGAATCTAGAATATGGTCTTAAAACATAGAAAGATAGGCTGACGACTTACATGTATCATTTTTCTAGCAAGCCGCCGTCATGTAATCTTCCGATTAATAACACAGTGTTACAGTACTTGTATTTTGGAAAAAGACCCCATTATACCTATAGGTAGATATTCTGTGTGATTTCATGAATGTGTTTTCATGTTCAATGTTAATAATGATGATAAATATCACGCAGTTGTAAAAGCAAAGAAAGGTTGATTAGTTTGAAGCACGGCTTGTTTATTTTTAATGTGGTAGATGAACATATAAAAAGAACTGTATTTCAAATTCGATTTAGTTTATAAATGTTATTCTTGTTTTTTTCTTTATGTATCAATAAAACAGCATTGACAACTTTTTATTATGTAATTATATTATGCCCCAAAATGAATATGGCTGGGGTATACAGTATTTGTCATTTCCTTCCATCTCCCCATTCCATTTTCCTTCTGTCTCTCCATTCATCTCTCTTTCTGTCTCTCCATTCCTGTCCTCCTGTCTCTACATTCCTGTATTTCTGTCTCTCCATTCCTCTGTCCTTCGGTTTATCAGTCAATCACATTCTGTACTTAGCTCACTTTCAAAGATTTTTAAAGATATATTTATAAACCTTAACACAAACTGGTGAGAACAATAGAATTATGTTATTATGCTATTTTCTGACCTTGACTCTCCTATGGATCTTGATCTCACTTTTCCTCATTATGCGTTTAGCTCATTTTTTTTCAAGGTTTTCCGACCTCATTCACTTATAAAATTTAATGACAGCAATCAACCTTATATGACCTTCACATCCTGATGAAATCTGAAGATATCAATTGGTATGAACATTTGACCTCATGACAGATTGTATTTGTAAACAAGATTGTTGTATCGACCGTAGAATTTACAAAATGTTTATATTTACATTATACCCGACCCGTAGGACCTATACGTAACTTTAGCATATATAACATATTTTCATTTTTAAAAGACAGGGCGCGTGAAATTAATTAGATTTGTACAAATGTGTTTGTCTTACTGAAAAAAATAAATTTAAGAATTTGGCAGTTTGTCTTTGATTATTTTTCATGGGTATAAGGGTATAAATTATCAACTAGATCTACATTTCTATTTAAATCAACACTATGAAAGAAAGTTTTTCTGATGTCTTCGAAAACTTTGCAAATATGTTTTTCATCCTTGTTATTTTGTTAATTTTTAGTTTTCCATCAAAGTCTTTCTCCAGGAAAACATCAAATTACGAAACAGATGTTCAGGTTGTGATATCTTTTATTTCTAATTCATCGGGATACATTGTATATAGAGAATCAACTTATGAATAAAAATGAATATTGTCAATTAATAAAATCTACATGTCGAATTGAAGGCCATAATAGGAGATTCACCATGACCATAACTATTCCTAATCTTGTTTTACCTCAATTTCGAAGACGCTGTACAAGATTTTTTCAACAATCTATATACTAATCACACAAATGGGTGAAGCCTATTGTCAAACTCAATTTAAAAAAAAGAAGGGTGATAATATTTAAAAAAAAAATCTTGGAAAATCACAGTCTTACTAAAAACTTCCAAGTGTTGTGTTGATTCAGATTTTTTAAAACTTTGTCCTTAAAGTCAGGGGGAGTTCTCGGTGTAGCAGTACACTACAAAATCTCTGATAAAAATCAGAAAATTTTATTTAGTTGGATTTGTACTACAGCAATCGTTCTAAGCTCTGTACATCTTCTAACCGACACAGCAAACATCTCTCCATACTATCTGTTCCTCCGTCAGCCCTCTATCTGTCCCTCTGCCACTCTCCGTCCTTCTATCTGTCATACCATCCATCTATCTGCCCTCCGTCACTCCATCCATCTATCTGCCCTCCGTCACTCCATCCATCTATCTGTCCTCCGTCACTTCATCCATCTATCTGTCCTCTGTCAATTAATTCTTCTATTGTCCTTCGTCAGTCTGTTCTTCTATCTGTCTCCCGTCCCTTCGTCCTTCTGTCATCCGTCTCTCTGTCCTTCTATTTCTCCCTCCGTCATTCTGTCCTTCTATCTTTCCTTTCATCACTCTGTCCTTCTATATGTCCGTCCGTTATTATATCTGTCCCTCCGTCATTCTGTCCTTCTATCTTTCCTTTCATCACTCTGTCCTTCTATATGTCCGTCCGTTATTATATCTGTCCCTCCGTCATTCTGTCCTTCTATCTTTCCTTTCATCACTCTGTCCTTCTATATGTCCGTCCGTTATTATATCTGTCCCTCCGTCATTCTGTCCTTCTATCTTTCCTTTCATCACTCTGTCCTTCTATATGTCCGTCCGTTATTCTATCTGTCCCTCCGTCATTCTGTCCTTCTATCCATCCTTCTGTCCTTCTATCTTTCCTTTCATCACTCTGTCCTTCTATATGTCCGTCCGTTATTATATCTGTCCCTCCGTCATTCTGTCCTTCTATCTTTCCTTTCATCACTCTGTCCTTCTATATGTCCGTCCGTTATTATATCTGTCCCTCCGTCATTCTGTCCTTCTATCTTTCCTTTCATCACTCTGTCCTTCTATATGTCCGTCCGTTATTATATCTGTCCCTCCGTCATTCTGTCCTTCTATCTTTCCTTTCATCACTCTGTCCTTCTATATGTCCGTCCGTTATTATATCTGTCCCTCCGTCATTCTGTCCTTCTATCTTTCCTTTCATCACTCTGTCCTTCTATATGTCCGTCCGTTATTCTATCTGTCCCTCCGTCATTCTGTCCTTCTATCCATCCTTCTGTCCTTCTATCTTTCCTTTCATCACTCTGTCCTTCTATATGTCCGTCCGTTATTCTATCTGTCCCTCCGTCATTCTGTCCTTCTATCGATCCTTCTATCATTCTATCTGTCCTTTCGTCACTCTGTCCTTCTATACGTCCCTCCGTTATTTATCTTTCCTTCCGTCACTCCGTCCTTGTCCCTTCATCACTCCGTCTTTCTATCTGTCCCTACATCATTCCGTTCTATCTGTCCCTCCAACACTCCATCCTCCTATCTGTCCCTCCGTCCTTTTAAATGTCCTTCAGTCCATCTTTCTGTCCCTCCGTCCTTCTATTTGTCACCCCGTCGTTCTATCTGTCCGTCCGTCACACTTTGCT